TTTCTCAACACCCATTTTGTCCCCCTGTCTCCCTGATTCTCCCTTCTGCAATCTTCCTTCTGCAATCTTCCTAGTATTATATTTACTTTTCAAACTATTCTTTTTTTTTTTAGTTGTTTCCTCAAATCTTGAGTATTTTACTCCCTTTCCCCACTTTTTCCCATTTTACTCCACATGGAATTGTTTGGTCATTAAAGATAGCTTCTTCTTTGTCCAGCCCTTCTTGTTCTTCGAGCATTTCTTGTTGTTTTTCATAATTCAAAATCTCCATTTCTAAGAATTGAAGTGCGAAGCCAAAGGATCCTCCTCCCTCTTGCGACTCTTTTTTCATTTGTTTAAGTTCCATTTTTAGTTCCTCGGGGAGTACTGCCAATTTAAGCACTTTTAAACAACCACCCGATTAATTTTAGTTCAGACCACTAGAAATCCAACACCCAAAATTCCCAAAATCACCAAATAATCCAAAACTGTTTTTTCTTGCTTCTTTTTTCCACTTTCCTTTTCCAGGAGCTCTGTTCTTATAACTAAGTTTCTGTTACAATGTATCCTTTGGAAGTCTTGTTAAAATTCCATTGTTAATTCTTTTTATTTCCAGGTGGTACTCTCTGCTCTTTCCAAGTCCCACCCTTTCTTTTTTCCTCTACTTTCCTCCTTTTGAAGGCTTTAGCATATCCAGAAAGTTTTTATTTTCCCTTTGACACTTTAATTTCAGCTTAAAATTGCCTGTTACTGTCAAAGTAGATTAACACCAATTTCTTGCTTAAATCTCTTCTTTTTAGCATGCAAAGCCAATTGTAGGTGTCGGTGTGACAAAAAACATTTTTTTTCCTTTTCCCTCTTCCTCCGCCACTTTAAGAATCTTCTTTTAGGAATAACACTCTTCGTAATTTAAATTCCAGGGTACCTTGCATAATGTTATCTCTGCTTAGCCCAGTCTGTCAAGCTCTCCCCTTTGTCTTCCTCCTGCTCAATCTTGTCTGGTCAGGTTCCTCTTTGAGGTGGCCATTTCTGTCTTCGGGAAAGGGAGTAAAGAACAGCCGAGGAGGAGAGATACGGCTCCCCTCAACTCAGCTGGTGGTCTCCCCCCTCTTCACCACCTCTACGGGGTGGCTTCAGCCCCGTATCCAAGGGATCGGGGCACTCCATCAGCGAGCACGGATTGAAACCGTGCACGATCACGGATTTCGGTCCATCACCAAAGAGGCCCAAATCGGAAGTCCGACACCCAACCTTTCTGTGAAAGGTTGCAGTAATGTTGTCAAATAATCAAATAATGCTGTCAAATAATCCAGTGTTGTAGCATTTTAATGTACTATGCCTAATATTGTGGGGGTTTGGCATGAGAAAGAGTGTTTCCTTCTGTTTATGGCCTTTGTTCACAACATCTGGTTTGCCATCTTGCAAAGCGAGCTGAACTTCTTAGTAGGTCTTTGGTCTGATCTGAGAAGCTTTGTGCATTTTTATGCTAACAGCCATCTGCTCATTATGACTACAAACAATAATATGTGGGATACCCTATTCCACATTCATTAAAAAAAGGAAAGTGAACTGTATGTGAATGGTAGAAAGAAAATGCTAATATTTATCCCGACTCAACCTATTGCCCCTTGAAAAGCTTTTCAGCTTCTCTTAACTGAAGCCAAACTCTAAATAGAACAGAAATAGAAAATTATTAAAAGTATGGGAATGATGTAATCAATGTCCTTAGATTGAAATTAATTGGAATCAAATATAATTTTGGTCTTGTCCTTGGCCCCAAGAACACTGGGCTCCTTTTACACTAATCAGATAAATATTTTTGCCCAACTGGTTGTGCAACATTCTCAGTTCATTTGTTATGAATAATGCTGAATATTCAACAGTGCTAAAATAGCATAAATTATAATTGGGTTAAAACATATTCTGCTGGTAAAACATGTATGCAGCTGATGGTGTTCTGTGAGCTTGCTTCTCTTCCAGCAGGCAGGCTTGTTAGCATCAACCCAGAAGGGAGTATAGCAGTGGTGGCTAACCTTTTTGGGCTCCTGTGCCAAAAATTGTGCTCACGCTTCTGTGCCAGCACCCAGAAGGCAATGAGCACCTCCCATGCCCCCTGAGCATGCGTGCACAATCCTCCACCCCCACCACCCCCACCCCTTTACCTGCACTGCGCCTCCCAGCTGATTTTCGGCCTCCTAGAGGTTTGAGGAAAGGCTCTGCAGGCCAAAAATAGGCCCATTTCATCAGTGACGAAAAGGGCCTATTATTTGGCCTGCAAAGCCTGGGAGGCATGCACATGCGCAGTGAGGTAATTTTGCCTACGGTTTGCGTGCCGGCACAAATGGCTCTGCGTGCCATCAGTTTGCCATCACGGGAGTAGAACATGCGGGATGGTTGCTTGCTTATTTATTTATATCCTGTCTATATTTTTACAAATAACTCAAGATGGCCAACCTACCCAACACACCTTCCTCTTTCTGTTTTTTCCACAACAACCCTGTGGGGTGGTTTAGGCTGAGAGTAACTGGCCCAAGATCATCCAATTGGCTTTCATGGCTAAGACGGCACTAGAAATCCCGGTCTCCCGCTTTCTAGCCTGGCACTTTGACCATTAGAACAAGCTGGCTCTCAATATATGCTCTGTCTAATAAGCCATTCAATAAAGAAGGTAACCAAAGGTCAAAGAAAGCAGGAAAATAGGTCTAAACAATATCTATTCTCCGCACACACATCTATTAACCAACTCAGAGAAGCAGGAATTATCTCCAGATAAGCAAGAGCAATCGCAGAAGAAACAATGCCGTGCCCAAAAATCAATTAGAAAGAAACAATACTCTGATAAAGCTAGTAAGACAAACTATATAAATTCACTCCTACCTTCACTGGTGATGTTTCCTAGTCTCGTGATGAAACATCTTCAGGAAGATTAGCAAGCTTAGAAAGCAACAAGACAAATATTCTGAAGATCGTGAAGCCCACATTAGAGATGTTTTGGTAATGAGGGAAACACTATTTTACAGGCACAGTTTGGCTCTCCAAGATGAGTAGCACCCTGGTCATTCTTCTTTTCTTCTCTCATTTCACAGCCCGCTCTTCGTAACGTGGAAGATTGGTCGAGATAAAAGGTTGCGTGGATGTATAGGTACCTTTTCTGCCATGAACCTGCATTCAGGCCTCAGGGAGTACACACTTACTAGGTAAGACTTTGTTGATGTTCTCTTCACTTTGAAGAGGGTTGTAATTTATTATCATTTATATTGTGAAATTGGCCCACTGAATTTTTGAGCATCTGCTCCCCACTAAGGTTTTTCCAAGCATTGGAGAATCTTGTTATCTAGGTTTGTTTGCTTAGTCCAAAATGCTGAAGTAGCCTGTGACTTGAGCATTTCCCAATTTATAATGTATCTTTGCCCAAAGCAGACAACTTCAGTTCTTTTTTTTTGGAAGACAAGAGGAAGAAAGGTAAAGTCTGCGGGGGAAGAAAAAACAGTGCAGCAATCCAAAATGGCTGGCATTATCTCCATTTCTCCAGCAAGGACTTCCTGCCAGCTACATTTCATTTAATTTTTCTCATTCTTATTCCTCATTGTTCTTTGGTTACATTCTTGCTCTTGAGCGGAAACCTGTTGAATTAGGGAAGTAAGTAGTAAGAATTCCTCGTGATCCAGACTACATCTAAGCTAGTTCATTTTTGTGATCTTTTGGTTGCCTTTCTTGGTGTAGTGTTCATCAACACATCAAAAGGTAGCATTTGGAGCTGGTGTTGTACTTTGGAGGTTGGAGGAGAATTTGATTGGGGTGGTGCCTTCTTTGATTAGCGCACTAGACTGAAGATGGTTAATAATTCATCTAAATCCTCATAGGGGAATCCCAAGGACTAGAAGTGTACAGGTAGTCCTTGACTTACAGCCATTTGTTTAGCAACCATTCAAAGTTACAACAGCACTGAAAAAAATCACCTATGACCATTTTTCACACTTTAAGACCGTTGCTGGGTCCCCACAGAGGAGGTTGAACTGCAAAATTTCCTATTATCCAAGTCAAGATGGGTTTGGCCTTTGGGGACATCTGGCCGGACAGACTTACTCTATGCTCTAAAAACTAAAACAGATCCACTTGGTGCTTCCAAGTTCTATATAGCATATTATAGCCTGTTCTCGTTCCTATCCTGAATCTCCCCACTTCCTTTTTATTTTATTTCCCAACTGGCATCTCAGTATGCTATGTAGAACTTGGAAGCACCTGGGTCCTTGCCAGATCATTCAATCAATTTTTATTATACTTCCAGATCAGCAAACATGCCAGGTCATTTTCTACATTCTTTCAAATGTAGAAATCACATTTTTCTGTACCCAGGAGCTGCCTGGGCATTAGAAACTATGCCCTTATTTTAGAGTGTTTTGTTTCTGAACCAAGTACAAAGTCTGGTGGTCAGATGCCTGCTTAGCAGTGATGATGTTCGGACTGCTGCAGGCCAAGCCTTTTGTGACAGTTTTCTATGTATGAGCCATGCTTGAAAAGTGCGTCCTTCTGCCTAGCTTGTGAATCATGGGCTGTAAGCTTTAACAGCACCTTGATTAAATTGGCTGGCTCGGTGGGAATATAGAAAGACAGAATGTTTTGAAATGAAAGATGGAATGAAATAATTGCTCTGGCTGAGCTCGGGTGCCTCCCTTTCTCGGGCTAAATTAATTCTTTGAATGGGAACAATAGGAGTTCTGCTCAAGCAAGCTAAAAAGATCTTTTTCCTTTGAGCTTTGAAGACAAAGTACGAAGCCAGGAAGACATTCCAATAAATTGTTATCCGGTACTCGAAAATACAGTTTTCATTCTTGAAAGTATCTGTGGAGATTCTCAGTCATTCAGGTCATGGTTGTCCCAAAGGTGTTTTTTTCCATAGGCAACTGGACGTTCTTGGTTTTCTTTGAAGACATTTCGTTTCTCATCCAAGAAGATTCTTCTACTCAGAATTTGAAAAGGCTCCTTTGAGGCATTCTGGAAAGTACTTAATAGATCTAGAAGAGGGGTCCCCAACCCCTGGTCTGTGGACCAACACCTGTCCACGGCATGCCAGAAACCGCCCTGCACCAACAAGCGAAGACCATCCATGGGATGCAGGCAGCACACAAAAACACACCTCCTCCAGTCCATGGAAACACCTCTCTTCTTGGAACCGGTCCCTGGTGCCCAAAAGGTTGGGGACCGCTGATCTAGAATATAAAGGTCTAAAATTGACTCCTTGGAGTAAAAAACACTTTATGTTTCCAGTAATAGGGGCTTTATTGGATTTATTGTTAATACCTCTTACTCTTGGTAATAATTTTAGCCATGATAAGTAGGCATTCTGCTGCCAGCAGGAATCACAAGAAAAATACATGTTCATATGTCGCATTATTTTATTGTTTTGTTTTATTATCATTTTTGCTTTGGACTCATAAAAAGAATACAGATTATCCTTGACTTACAATCACAATTGAGCCCAAAATTTCCATTGTTAAGAAAGCAAGGCAGTTTGTTAAAAAAAAATTGCTCCATTGTATGATTTTTTTGCCACAGTTGTTAAACAAATCACTGCAGTTATTCAGTGAGTTACACAGTCATTAAGCAAATTTATCTTCCCCATTGACTTTGCTGGTCGGAAGCCAGCTGGGAAGGTTGCAGATGCTGATCACATGAACCCAGGACAGAAAACCAACATAAATACATGCCAGTTGCCAAAACCCAAATGTTGATCACATGACTGTGGTGATGCAATTATCGTAAGTGTGAAAAATGGTCATAAGTCACCTTTTCAGTGCCCTTGTAACTTTGAATGGTCACTAAATGAATGGTTGTAAGTTGAGGACTACCTGTACATATTTGGTGTTTTTTCCTCATTCTACATTCTGGAGTGAGGTTAGGAATGCAACCCAACCATGATGAGAGCAGTTATCACCAAGGGAAAGTAGTAATGCTTGAAATCCACTGCATTGTTTTGCTCAAGCTGGGGCTGCATCCACATGTAATGGTAAGCTAGAATTTAGAATTGCATGAGTAAGAAGAAACCCATGAAAAGCCTTTGTCATTTATATATGAGTGAGTGATGGTTGTTTTAAAAAGCTCTGCAGACTTCATGAAAAAATCCAAACAATTTGCTTGCAGATGAGTTTTTTAAAAATATAATTCCAGATATACATACAAGTTTGAACCAGAATCTGCTGTTTTGACAATAAATTTAGGTTTACTCCCTCTTTGACTCTCGTTGGTAATTTTCTTCTCATTCATATAACTAAATTACTTGCAATTTTGTGCAAACTCATTTATAGGTTGGTTTTCAGAAGTGAAATTTTATTTTATTTTTTTAAAGTTTTTAACTCTGGGATGCTACATTAATAGAAAGTATTAGAGATAACCTTTCCCTTTTTCCAATAATGTAAAGAATGGTACTATTTTAAATAAACATAAAATATCTCTGATCCACCATTGAGATCTTTTGACTATTATGTTCATGTCTCATGTGTATTCAGGGAAAGTAATAAGAATGGGCCGATGACATTTTGTTTAGGTGCAAACACTTCCAGATCAGTGTAAAAATGCTTGTAATTGCTTTAAACGTAGGTGTTAAAGAACAAGCAAATAATAATTTCCCTTCGGTTATTATGGACAATTCTTGGTTAATTTGTTTATTTAAAGATGAGGTGTTGCAACTCACTAGGTAAGGAACTCTAGATCAGGAAATTACCTCCATGGGAAGGCGAGAACTACTTTTATTGGGATTGGCTATAATTAGCAGAATCTTGCAAGTCTTGGATATGCTGTATTTCTTCCTTTTCCTTATGTACTACCAAATTAGTAATAAATCTGTCTGAGCCATTGATGAATGTGGTCTGGACATTCTGGACTTAAATAATGATTTAGCCCCTTTGCAACAGTACCTGCATATCTCTATCAAACCATCTTGCTCACTCTCTACATAAAGGTAATCCTTGATTTACGACCATAATTAAGCCCAAAATTTATGTTGCTAAATTGCTTAATTTGTTAAGTAAATTTTGTCCCATTTTATGACCTTTCTTGCCACAATTATTAAATCAATCATTGCAGTTGCTAGGATAGTAACCCGGTTGTTAAGTAAACCTGGCTTCCCCATTGCCTTTGCTTGTGAGAAGGTCGCAAAAGAGGATCACGTAATCCTGGGAACGCTGCAACCGTCATAAATATGAACCAGTTGCCAGGCCTCTGAATTGTGATCCCATGTCCATGGGGATGCTGCAAATGGTTGTATGTGTGAAAAGTGGTCATAAGTCACTTTTTAAAGGGCTGTTGTAACTTTGAACAGTTGTATTGTAAGTGGAAGTACACCTGTATTTAAGAACCAAAATGTTCCATTGAATGGGACATTATGAACAAAGCACACGCTACCTGTTTCACATCAAAACCTAATTCTGCTCTAATACTTGCAAGCAAGGAAGCCTAGCATTTTACATGGCACCCTGTCCGTAATATAATTGGTTTCAAAGTGCATCTTGCTTTTAAGTAGACACACTTAAAAGACATTGCTAAAGGTTGTCCCAATGCAAGGTTATTTTGTAAGTTTATATCCACAACTTGCTCTGTTGCCGTCAGGTGTACTATGGGCCAATTGTCAATTAAAAGATTGGGCAGTGCTAAAAGCCTAAGAACAACGAGACACTTTTACTGGCCTTCTGAAAAATCTGCCATAAATTGATTGACTTGGCCTCTCTTGGAACCAGACTTTACAAGTATGAAACCATATTTTTTAAAAAAAGTTAATAGAACAGTAGAGGTCTTTAAATGGGAAACATAATTCTCTGTGTCCCTGGGCATAACTTAGCCTGTGCATAGTTTTTACCTGTTTCCTCGGGTTGGAGTCTCAAAGATGATAGATGTTGTGTGGTCAGATCTTCTTCAGCCACCCTTCAAAACAGGATCTCAGCTCTTATCACCTGTCATTTCCCCCCTCCTTTGGGGAATAAGGAACCAGGATGGATTTCTGCCCTGACAAGCAGGAAGTAGCTTCACTTGATTTGCTGTGGAACCTTTAATTTTTTTTAGGCGACCATAGTAAATTAATGCCAAGAACACTTCTTGTGAAGCAAATTGATGTTCTGCCATAATTGTCCAGTGATTTATGAATTTAAGGAGCAAGAGCCTCAGAAGAAAACTCCTCCCCTCTTGCTAATGAGATCCACACACT